TGACTTTATTCTCGTAATTTTATGACTATTCTCCTTGTGACTTTATTCTCGTAATGTTACGACTTTATTCTTGAAATTTAAGAAAAACTAAATCTCTAGCCAGGCCCTAATACTCCGTCGTATGTGAGAAACCATGTTCCATAATTTGGTTACAAAAAGGTGAGCTTTAATGTTGATAAAAAATATTCTTTATCTCTTTTACAATTTGTCCTAACTCCCTGTTTTTTTAAATGGTGTCCAGTATTAAATATTTTCCTGGCTACTGATATCCACTTTTACCTTTTTAGTATGGTGACAGCCCTAGATGTGAATAGAGTTCTCTTAACCTTCGGGGTTTTAATCCCACTCTGTCTCTGCAGGATTGAGTGAGACGCAGCTGGTCCAGAACTCCATCGATAACCTGGAGCTGAGTAGCAGCAGAGAGCTGCAGCGGACTCTCAGCAGGTATGAAGCAGACGTACCACTGAGATCCTGGGTGTTTACCGATGTTCTAATCCACCCCGTCTTTGTCCGTTTCCTGCAGGTCAAAGAGAAACAGGCGAGGACCGGTCATTGAAGCAGACGGCATGCTGAAGATGTTCCACTGTCCTTATGAAGGCTGCAGTCAGGTTTACGTAGCAATCAGCAGTTTTCAGGTAGAACTCCGTGACCCGTTCTGTTTGCATCTCTCATCTGTCATCCCTTAAAATGGATTAAAAGAAGCTGTCCATTGTCTCTAGAATCACGTGAATCTAGTTCACAGGAAAGGAAGGACCAAGGTCTGCCCTCATCCTGGCTGTGGGAAGAAGTTCTACCTGTCAAACCACCTCCACCGTCACATGATCATACACTCAGGTGGGTTCTTACCAGAAGACCAGCGCTGGTATTTTCAATTCAATTCAGCTTTTTTTCAATATAGCATCAATTCACAACACGTCATCTCAAGGCACTTTATTGTTCACCAGATCATCCAGTCAAATTAATTCAAAGTTTTCTATCTAAGGAAAACCAGTTGATTGCATCGACTCATTGACTCGAAAACAATTCTTCACACTAACTCATTTATTTATGTGGTTATTTCTACCAGGGGTCAGAGATTTCATCTGTGAAACGTGCGGGAAATCATTTAAGCGTAAGAATCATCTAGAAGTCCACCGGCGGACGCACACAGGAGAGACGCCGCTCCAGTGAGTTACTGATGTCATAGTCTGCTGTTCCTGTGGACAAATTTGGACAAAAAAAAAAAAAAAAAGCTGAAAGAGATTTTTATTTCTCTCCATACATAAGATTTGCATTTCTTGCTTTGAGTGTGACAGTTTTGGGTGCGGCAAACACCAAGGGCAGTCAGTTTTTACAACGTTTCTATTTTGAAAAGGTCCTGTAGGTGGAGTACATCTCAATAATTAGTGCTGCTTCAACTAATCAAAGGAAATTAACAATGAAGACCAATGGAGGGTGGCAAGGGGCAATATATGCATTTCACATGATTTCAAGGCACGTTTGTTGAATGCACTAATGAATAAGAGAATACATGAGCGTATCTGTCTATCTCTAATTTAGATATGCAAAGCTGGTAGGTTTTTTTTTTTTTCAAATTAAAGGAATATTGGCTGAATCCCAAACAACCCCTTAAGCACCCTTAACAATCAAGGGTCACTCCCATGGAAGTCTCACTTGCAGCTGTGGAGGGTGCCTAAATTGAAGGTGTGTGTGTGTGGGGGGGGATATAAACGAGAATGGGAGGGCTTCTTCTCTCCAACAGAAAAGGAAAGCAGTCATTGCTATAGCGACACATTGATGCCCCATGTACATGGCTGTATTTGCCCCTTTCTTAAAACAAATGTATACGGTCAAATGAAACTATGTTAAAGCGGAGCTTCCACTTTGGAATAAATTTTGTTTTTTCATTTTCTAACTTGTGATTTTCTGTCAGAATGAGGAAGATGCAGCAAAATGGCAGAATTTACACATGGGATTATGTGTTTCCTCTGCCAACAGGCCGCTATTTAACCTGCTGCCGAATTCCAGCAAGTCTGCAACTGAGACAGACTTGCTATTAAAGGGATGAACGTTCCACTTGCCCTACCTACTACTTGGTTTGGGATGGCACTTAATGTGGCACACCCTCTGTGAAAACGTGCAAATGGAGGGTTAGTGCTCAGGGTTAGTGCTTTGGGGCTGGTTTGGGATTGCGCCATTGAGTCTTGATATGAACAATACTCCACATTTACAGTTTTTATTTAGTATAAACACAACAAAGAACAATTGTTTCTTTTTTTGTTTATTATGCCCTACTGTGTGTTGATTTGTCACATAAAAACCCAATAAAACACATGAATGGCTGTGATAAGCTCTGTAAACGGTCTGGCAGAACTCACAATACCTGACCATGAAACTTCTCTCTGCCGTTTTTTTCCCCTTTATTCTCAACTTCAGATGTGAAATCTGTGGCTACCAGTGCCGCCAGCGTGCCTCCCTGAACTGGCACATGAAGAAACACACTCCGGAGGCACTTTACAACTTCACCTGTGAGTTCTGCAACAAGCGGTTCGAGAAGTTGGACAGCGTTAAATTTCATAAAGTGAAAAGCCACCCTGAAAAACAAACAAGCTGAGGTCTCTGGAGGGGAGTGTCTCCTCTGTTCAAACGGCTCATGTTTCTTTATAGGGGATATCAGCTTAGTGAGACAGTCCAACCCTGTGCAGGACACAGGCTGTGACAGTAGAATCTGCTGAGTTAACATTACGACCACAGGAAAATACAAAGGGGGCTCAACATGTTCTTAATATGCACTAACAACCTTATCGTTTACAGTAGTAACTATTACTTTTCAGGGATTGCATCATTCTGCGATGCAGATTATGTTTTTATTCCTGAACATCAGAAACTGGTCAGTGTCTTTGTTTGGGGGCCAGTCCGGGATTCAGCATTACCAAAAATTGCAGAACTGTAACCAGTGGGAATTTGAATTATCCTTTTACTGCCGACTGTTTATAAAAAGTTTGTAAACCAGAGAGGTCGGTTGATAATAAAGAAATATGACCAGTGGTAAATATCCAGTAAAAGTTTAGGCTGTAAAAGGACTGGACTACGAGTCATCTGTTAGACATCATGCTTGGTTTTATGATGAGGAAACAGTTGAATTGGGTCAGTAACACAGTATCTGTGTCTCCCATGTGATTTTAATAACTCTGCTCAGGAATTTTCATAAAATCCTTTTTGTTCTTTCTTCAATTTCTCTGTTTCTTGACCTCAATAAAAGCAATTTTCCTTTTTGTATTAACCACTATCTTCTGAGTTTTTTTTTTTTAATAAAGTATTTTTTTCTTCAAAAGAACTTTCTTGTATGCAACCCGGTGTGTTCCTGCTTCATGCGTCCCCCCAACCTGGACCGTGTGCACACTTATGACACAGTCTAGCTGCTCTTAGATAATAAAACAAACATATAAAAGCTCTTGTGACACCTTGCGTCATAAAATCTATCTTTAAGGTATAGATTTTGAATGATTTATACATTAAGAAATATTTGTAAAGGCTACAACACAAGACAGTATCCTTAAAGTCTCCTTTAAGGATTAGTGACTCCTTTAAGGATTAAAGATGCAGGTAAATGGTAGTGCCCCAGGGGTACCTTCTACAGAGAGTAGAATAAAAATCTGGTCAGGGTAAACAGCAAGTAGAAAAGATTGTTAATTACAGAATAACTTTCCTTAATTACTGCAGGGAAAGAGAAACTTAACTTCTGAGCTAGGCTTACGAAATACGAGTAGCAGCTGAACATACAGGCATTGCCTCTATGTAAATGAAAGGTGGAGATTACAGGAAGTTACTATTAAAGGGGAAATTGAAACTTTAAATTTTTCCCTTGCAAGCAATGTGCCTTTGATTGCCTTTCAAATTCATCGTTTACCCAACGTCATTTTTTTAACTCCTTGTGTTGAAAATAAAACTTGGAATTTTATCTTTTGTTTAAAAAAAATCTGTTTTTATTGTCTTTTATTTTTTATGTTCTTCAGTTCCGTCTGAGGTTAAAATATAACATGGTTAATAAAGTAAAAAGGTCAAACTCCAAGAGTTTTTTTAGCTCGATCTCTCACAACTGATTTCCATGGAATAAAAATCTCCAATATATGTCTTTAATGTATATCTTCCTTTATTCTTAACAGATGAAGAAGGCCATACAATGAATGAACAGATGTTATTGTTCATTGTTTTATTTTTATTTTTTTTTTGACGGTTACTAAATCAATCTGACAAGTAACTGAATATTTCATCACTTTCTTGAAATTCAGAAGTTTTCATAAATGTATTTAGGTGTTATCTTGGGAAAGTTAGACAATCTCATTGCTTTGTTAAAAAGCTTAATTTACAAGATTAGTGAAGGTTAAACCAATGAATTTGTTTAAGACAATGAATGCAATACTCTGCTTCCTTGTATGACATCATATAAGAAGCACTAAAATAACGAAAGTGTCGCTCACGCACCCATACAGCGGAAAACCCAAGTTTACGTAAATCATTTCCTTTGTCATACATCTATAAAATATATGTTATAAAGGAAGTCCAAAAACTATAGATAAAAGTCTTCAGCTGATCCAATCAAATGCTGCAGCCAGAATTCTGATGAAAATTAAAAAGATCATATCTCTCCTGAACTAGCTTCTCTTCATTGGCTTCCTGTTAAATCCCGAATAGAATTTAAAATCCTCCTTCTCACATATAAAGCCTTAAATGGCCAAGCTCCATCTGATATCAGAGATCTGATTGTTCCTTATGTTCCTAACAGAGCACTTCTCTCTCAATCTGCAGGTTTACTAGTGGTTCCTAGAATTTCTAAA